AGTGCGCCCAAGGGTAAACTACACCAAATGTAATTTTCTTTATTAATTTCAAATAATTGCAAATATTTCATATTAGATTAATGATAATTTAGATTATACAAACAGTATAGAAAAATTTCCTTTTTACTTTCTTCAATTTGTGGATCTGGAAATGAAGATCATAAGAGCCTTACCATTTTATTTTTTTATAATCTTTTTAATAGAACTTGTAAATAACATGGTAAGAATTAACCTGAAGAAGAATGCTTTGCCTTCCCAAGCTTGGCTAACTTTATCTTAACTATGCAGTTGGTCCAGTAAAAAATATTACCCCAAAAAATCTTTGCCTCTTGAATAATTCCTGTACCAGCACAACTACAATGACACTCAAATGCTACCATGACAAGAATTAAGACATTTCTGAGTGCATTAATTCCGTATCCACTAATTGTAAATATTACCTATTTCATTTGAGAGATGGAGGTTCTATTAATTATTCCTCTTAAAGCACAAGTTTTTATGCTTTTGGGCTGCATTAAAAAAAATCTGCGGGTTAAATACTTATAACCCCACTGAAGTTAAAACCCATTTAGTTTTAAAATCTTGTATTAACCAGCATGGTGCCCTATTACAAATGCTCTGCCCTGACTTGCTAGATGCCATTAAGAAGTTGTTGCACTTTATCCTAGAGCTAGTTGTATTTCAGGAATAGCTAAAGCTATTAATAAATTGACAGGCAGATACAGCATGCAAAATCAGTAAGTAAAATAGATCACCCAGTCTTCAGGATAAATTATACTATATAAATAAAAGACCCAGACTTAATTTTGATGTAAATCAATTCTTTGGGTTGCTGGTTGCTAGACATTTTATTACAGCATCAGGCAAAGCTTCTGAGAAAGTGTTTGTGCAAGTTGGTAATTATGGATTTCTCTGGCCATTTAGGAATCAGTATTGATAGACTCTGCAGGAGCTACATTCAGGTTTCACTGCCTGAGAGGCAGTAAACATATCGCAGGGTTTTTATGGATACAAAAAAGGGATAGAATACAAGGAACACATTTAGGGAAGAACATCATGTTCACCAAAAAGAGAACATTTCTTTGTAGCTCAGCTCTCAACCCATGATACTCCTGAAATACAGGATCAGGTGTATCCATGTGTCACAGAGCACGCGGGTGCCCTGCTCCTTAGAGCAGAAACAGCTAGGGAGAGAGAGCCCTAGCAGTGAGTGGGGAGCCCAGCTGCTAGTTACTAGGGCAGCCAGAGTAGTAATAAAGAGGCACAGGTGCTGGTTGCTGGGACAACTGCTGTGGGTCAGCTGACCGGAAGGGGGCAGGGCCTGACTTATATATATACCCAGGCTGAGGCTGGAGAGGGAGTTTTCTGCCAGCAACCATAGGGGTGGGATCTCTGCTGGAGCGAGAAAAGGAAAAGGCCAGGATGCATGGGCAGTTGTTAGGGTGAGACAGGGAGACACCCTGTGACAGGCGTGAATGTGGTTATAGCCAGATGGCTTAATTTATGTTGTAGCCAAGGGGCTTGAGTTTGTGTTGATGGTTTACTGTTTACAACTGGAGGACTGGGTGAGGCTATTAGGGGTTGGAGGAGGCCTCATAGGGGCTCCACGGTAGTGTGGGGACCCTGGTGCCAGAGGGGTGCAGCATTTGGGGGTGCACTGACCCCAGCCCTGAGAAGGGGAGCAGAGAATTGGAGGCCAGGTAAGGCTGAGGCTGCCTGAGCCCTGCAGGGGGTTTGAGACCCCAAGGAGGAGATTTGGGGCCAGGCATGGCTACGGCCACCTAAGCCCCAAGGCTGCGGTAACCCCAGAGCAGGGGGTGGCACGAGGAGGCCCTGAGGCAAAGGGGGCAGCGCCTGTGGGGCATGGTACAAGGGCGGTTGCAGCCACACAATACAGAACAGAGGCCAGGATACAACAGAGCACCATGTCCAAGAGGACAAAAGGCAGCCTCCCTTATACATATAAAAGATCAAGACGTGGTGGGCGAGAATGAGGGTGCTTTAATGCGAACTTGGCATGGTAGGGGGCGCTAGGGGAGATCATGACTGCCCCTAGGACTCCACGCTGTGACCATGCTTACATAAAGAAATGTTCTTTCTTTAAATAATAAGGTCTACAGATCATTTACAATAGGTATTTGAGTCTGCTTTGCAGCTTGGGGCAGTTAAGACAACTTCTATACTCAGGATCATTCAAATAACTCTTGATGAGAAGAGGTTAGTCGAAAGCCCGCCAAACTGGTTTATCATGAGTGAGCCCTTCCTAGGTGTAGGAGCCACCTTGATAATCTGACTTCCATGTAAGGCTTGGTGTATGGGCAGTGCACTTGCAGATGCTAAAAATTCTCTTTGCAATAAGACCAATTGTCTTTCTTATTGGGTACATCTACATGTTCCCCTGACTGCGCAGTTGGTACTGTGCAGTCATTTAGTATTTTCTAGTCATTTTCTAGAAAGTAATAAATAACTGTGCAGTACCCACCAGTACTGCACAGTCCTGGCACTGCACGGGTCATAGCTGCGGCATCATGGTTAGTGCCTGCCAATGCTATGTTACCATAGCTTATCACTACGGCAATTTATTAAGGAAACCCCAGCAGATACTGACTGTGGCAACCAGAAGAGGTCTGTTAACTGTGGCAGGAGCAGAGCTCATTGTGTTTCAGTTGACTGGATGTCATTCTCTCTTTTCTGGTAGTCATTCCCTAAACTGATCTCTGCCAACAGATGAGATAGTTTCACGTGAAGGAGAGAGCTAGAATTATCATATTAAGTCTGGATCACAGAAACAGGTTTGTATATAGCATTTAAATTCCCAACAACCTCCAGTGATTTCTGTTACCACAAGCATCATTATTTTCCCTCATTATGACCATCATTTATCATCTTTAATCTCCTGAGATGTGACACTGTACCAGATTGTATTTATCCTCAACCTCCATAGCACCTTTTAGGTTTATATGCCCTGAATTTAAAATACAGGCATACCTCGTTTTATTGCGCTTTGCTTTATTGCGCTTCGCAGATATTGCGTTTTTTACAAATTGAAGGTTTGTGGCAACCCTGCATCGAGCAAGTCTATCGGTGCCATTTTTCCATTGGCACCATTTTTCCAACAAATGATGGTTAGCATTTTTTAGCAATAAAGTATTTTTTAATTAAGGTATGTACATTGTTTTTTAGACATAATGCTATTGCACACTTAATAGACTACAGTATAGTGTAAACATAACTTTTATATGCACTGGGAAACCAAAAAATTCGTGTAACTCGCTTTATTGAGATATTTGCTTTATTGCGGTGGTCTGGAACCGAACCCGCAATATCTCCGAGGTATGCCTGTACTCCAGGAACAGCAGCACTCAGTGTGTTTTTTTTCAGCTTTCTCTCTGTATAGAATTCTGATCAGAAAAATTGCCAGGATAAAATAAGTAAACTTTCTTCTTCCCTAAAGCCAATATTATTGCTGCCTGGATCCTGCAGAGAGAACCTGAAAGCAAATACAAGATCAAATGGTAATCGATGTTAGTAAAAGAAAAAACCTGCCATACATCTGTAAAACTTAATAATTGTCTAAGGATGCTAAATTGAGAAGGCTTTGAAGAAAAGCCCCTGCTAGCTATTCATTTACATGTTCCAGGAGGAGCACTGTTCTGTTTGTCCCTTCTTTCAGGCTTCAAATAGAATGAGCAATGGATGATAGATTATTTCATTCAAGTCATGACCTTTCCATGGTTTGCTGAGACTGGCAATGGGCAAATTTTTGCACATCTCCATAGGTATCTTGCCCGGACAATGCTCAGTGACCACATTTAATCAAAGCTTTTGCTCTTTTGAGAGCCTGGCAAGAACTGGAACTGGTAGGAGATCTGCAAATATTTCTGAGGCAACAGACAGCAGCTACTGACTACAGTTGTTTAAGCTACTACTTGCAAGGAGGCATTTCCTCCTGTTGTATTTCATGGACTGATTCAACTTGCCACATTCTATATTAGTGTACTGCACACCTGTACTCCTTTCTATAGTGCCTGGCAAGACAGGATCATAAAATGACTTTTCTGATGACTTCAAATAGCTTCAGCTTCCCATAGTTTCCTACTTCTATTAAATCTGGAACTGATATGTCAGTGTCTGAATCTAAGAAGCACACTCCTGCAGAAAACAATCATGTTGATGCGTTTTTTTTGTTTGTTTTTTAAGGGCAGCTGGGCAGGGTGGGAAGAGAAGTAGTCAGGCTTCTTATTTTTTTAAAACTATGATTACAATAGTGTCCACCCTTTCATCCTCAAGAAAGCATCATAAGACATTTAGGGTTTCAGATGAAAGTTCATATTTGATTGTTGATATATTTTTGTTGGTCTGATGCCACCTAAAGTTTTCATAACCAATGGAGCAGATGAAGAAGATTACTCCCAGAACTGGCTACCTCTGAAGAGCCTATATAGTGATGAAGCCACTTTTTCTGGCAAGAATTTCCCAACCTTGGAAACAGTGAGTCATGGATACTTGTGAATTCTCTTCAGAAAAGCTCCATGGCAGAGACGTTTGGCTGAGACACCAGCCACTGTGGAGGCAGAAAGAGCCAGGAGCTTCAGTGCATTAGGCAATCTCCTGTTGCCAGGGGCTGGCAGGCCTGGTTTTGTACCCAAGCTGTAAGGGTACTGAAATACCATTGTAATGGATGGCTGGACTTAGCATGAAGAAAAAAGGAATAAATTTTCCATAAAAAAATTAAAAACTACTTTAAAATGAGTAAATTGGCATTGACAAACTTATATTCTCTATATATCTTATTTAGTTAGGCTATAAACGTGCATATCTACCCTGTCTTCTGACTAACTTCAAACTAACATGGTTAACTACCTCTGCTCCTTAGGGAACCTGCCATGATTAGTGAATAGTAATTCTCCTACTAATAAATTACATTCATTTTGGTGCACAGCATAACTTTTGTGAATTCTGCACTGAATCAAAATTGTGAGAGAAAAGTGAGAACACACCTTCTGTGCCTTGCGCTTGTCTGCTCGTTGATTCTGGTGGTAGATACGACTGAAGTTGGAGACAATAACAGGAACAGGCAGAGCAATGACTAAGACCCCACTCAAAGAACATATTGAACCAAAGATCTTCCCAACTATTGTCTTCGGCACCATATCGCCATACCTGGATTAGGGAAACAAACCATTTAAAAACATAAGTTAACACGTCAGTTTTAAACTTGAATTAGCCGCTTGTTCTAACAAATAGATGTTTCACGCACATATACATTTGTCCATGCTCCCATGCTCTTTTAAATTACATAATTTCATTTTTAATTTAGTGCTTATGTTGATACAGTGCCTAGAGTTGGATCTCAATGATCTTTTATGCCATAAAAAAAAAGAAAAGAAAAAAACCCCAAGCCTTGACGATTCTCAGAGTCTCTGGAGCTTGCGTACGTCTCTTTTTAATGGCAGATACTGTTTTTCTAGCTCTGGAGGAATGCAGCAATGCTTAGAATTACCTTGGGGCTTGTAGATAGGGGCTACTGACAGCTTATTATGAGGACTTTGTTCTCTATACTTGATAGTTTACTGTATTGTGTAGAGCAGAAATGTGTAACTGAGTATTGCTGTGTTCAATAAAAAGCTAAACTGCCCTTAAAGTTCCATTTTCTTTTTAATTTGTTTGGGTTATTAATTACTATTACACAGTTGAATAGCATTGTAAATTTGCACAGCATATTACAGAACATGGCTTGTTCAGGCAGTGAATGTGTCTTATCTTACAGTCTACGCAACACAAGACTAAACATTCAGCAAGATGCAGGATAATACTGCAGAAGAGGCAGTGTTTGGGAGTTGCTGTGTTGAGAATAAACGTGTGTTTGAAGAAGGATTGGAAGTGTGATGGAGGAGGTGTGGAACAGGTGATGAGAGGGAGATTCTTTGAGGCTGCCATGAAGTTCTGGATCTGAGGGGGAGATGAAGGTATGGACAGAAGTTTGGAAAGGTGCTGGGGGCAGGAGGGGATAGCAGTAGGAATGAGAGCGAAGACATTTTCCAGAGACAGATTATGTGCGACTTTGTGAATGAGGCTGAGGGACCTGAATTTATAGGGTAAGAAAAAAAGGGGTCAAGGATTTCTCTGATGGCCTATCAGGTACTGAGATTAAGGCATGCTATAGTCAGTGGCACTGACTGATGTAAGCACTGTGGCTAGCATCATCCTCTTTGATTCAGCCTGAATAACCTGGGCTGACTGGGAGCAGCCTTCAGCATGGGTCCAGAGTGAGACTGAACTCATGCCTCTGGAGACCAGTGCTACTCAACTGCCCTGGCATCACAGTCCTATATACAGTAAGAAGAGATTGCTAATGTTGTGAACTACAACTGCTAACAGACTAGCAAGCATGAATCACCTTTCCAGTCCTAAACTTACCTTTTCCTCGGCCCACCTGCATCTATTTTTAGAGGAAACCCATTGCATTTTGTATTTTTGCATGTCACCAGTTATTAAAAAAATGTGATCAGCAAAATTTAAAATTGCAAATAGATGTTTTTGTTTTTATTAATAGAAACAAAAACCATACCATCATATGTATTTTTCTGTACCAGAGTTGGCTATGTCTTGTAAAGCTACTAAGCATTTCTTTTTGATAAATAAATACAATTAACCTTAAACCAATAATCGCTGTTGTTCTAGCCTACATTATCACCAAGTTCCTTGAATCCTTTATAGGTGTCTTTAGGGTTTATTTTACACTTATTTGAAATCATCTTTATCGATTTCCACACTACAACAAAACCAAAAAACATCAGGGGAGTTTTTATAGAAAAGAAACTGAAATGTATGTTTATTCATGGCTGTCGCTGTCAAGACAAATATGTACAATTAGATTCCTAAATCTATAATTAAACAACTAAATGTGCAGCCTGATTTGCAAAATTTCTGGGCACCTGTAAACTCTCCTACTTGCCAACAGGACTTTTGAACAGTCAAAAGGCAGTTGTGGCTCCATTTTAGTCTGCAGCTGTTGGGTTGGGAAATGGTATACCCAGCTGAACACATAAGACTTAAGTTTGTGTGAATATTCTGCAAGTGTTTTATGACTAGTAAAGACTCTAGGCCAACTGACTTCTAATACTTTAGTATCCAGGTATAGTTTAACAGTGTGGCATAGAAATTTTCTAATCATTCTAAAAATTATGAAAAGTTTAACATGAATGTTTGGGATTGTTTGGCTTGTAAAGGTATTCTCAGGCTGTTGTGAAATGACCAGAGCAAGATCTAGCTGGCTAGATTCTAGCCCCTCTCAGAATATTTCAATTTGGATTTCTTAATTCTACTTGGATAATGTGAAACATTGTACCATTTTCCAAACGTAATTTAATCAGCTGATCACTTGATGTTAATAATATACTCCACATTCTTGATAGCTCTAATTTAGGCATTCCAGTATTTCATCTATTTTTTTGTGTGTTGAAGATGCTAAAGTGCAGTTATGTTAAAAAAACTGGCTATTTGGGAATAACAGCTTCTTAATCAACAAGTGAGCTTCCTATGTGTAGTCAGACTCCCTGCTTGTTTTAGTGACAAAATTGGGCTACTGCTACTTATTTAAGGTTAGCCCTGATTTGTTACAGGACAGTGACCTGGATTGTATTCTGGCAACAATATTGTTTCCCAAGTTCCTGTTGCAGACCAAATATTACCTTCCACTATGTGTTACTGAATGCAAACAATAGAATTGGACATCCCCCCTCCCGCTTCACCTGGGGCAGTCTGGGTGTTATGTCTTGTGGCTGTGTCAGGGCTATGTAGTTTTACTATTAGGTTAGACAATGGATTTGTATAGGATGGTTGGAGACAGGTGATACTGCCTCATATTTTTAGCCCCATGACAAACCAACCCCCCCATCCTGACTTATTTGCTTGGCTCCCAGCACTGATGAACATTGATAAAACTGACACCAGGAGTAGCTTGCAGGATGCGGGGTTTGCTGGGCTGGGAGGGGCTGTCCATCTAGGGGTGGGGTGAGGGGCTAAAAATAGCCCATTGCCAAGGAGGATGGATAGGGAAAGTGCAGCTCTGGGACCTTGGAGCTATGCTGGGAACTGTACAGAAGCGCAGGACAGTTAGAATGGTCTAAAATAGCCAATGATCTAAGTTAGACTACCTTGGAGATTGGGTCACCCTTTTTAAAACCAGTTTAACCTTCCTGAAACTCCTGTACAGTTCACATTTAGATACACCTAACTAGAGATCTAAGTGTAAAGTCTGCACCTGGGCGAACTATGTTAGAATGGGTAGCCATTTTTAATGCTATCTAATCTCCCTCAACCTCCCCAAATGTTTGTATGGACCCTCTGTATCTATGGGGTATCTATCTGTCATAAGCTGACTTAAATGCCTACTTCAAAGTCTAATCAAGACAGCCAAATGTTGGGTCTAAGGTAGAAGCTGTGCAAATCTCCATGTGCAGTACTGAGAAGTCAGAAGACTGAATTACAACAGAATCATTACTTTTGCCATTCTTTCTTAAAGTGAGTGAAGAAGGTCGCTTAATAATCAGAATGCATGAGGGAGACACTTATGTGAATTCCAATTATGATCCAAAATACATATTTGTATTAATACTAGCTAATTGTATAACATATATATTTTTGTGTGTGCATGTGTACACTCTCTCTCTCTCTCTCTCTCTCTCTCTCTCTCTCTCTGATGGAAGATATCACACGAATTTTCCTTTTTCTATTGCTTAGTAAATGAATGTGTGTTTAGAAGACAAGGTTTGCTATGAAAATAAATTCTAAACAAAGTTTAAGCTACAGCAGGAAACTCCCTGGAAAAATTAAACAGTGTGATAGGCAACCTTTGAGATTTGTCAGGCATAATAGTTATGAATAAGTCCAGCATATGCATTTTTACAGAGACTAAATATTGTAAAGCAAGCAGCTTAGATTGCCAACATTTAAAAATATCAATGTAATCATGTCAAAACCCACTAGAGGGCATAAAACACCATTAGAAACCAAGTGAACTGATAATCCTTACCACTTTCATATGGCTTCACACACCCCACCCTTTAACACAATTGGATTATATCTCTGTAACAGTATAACATCATTTGGGGTTTCTTGTCTGATTTCTGCTTTATTCATGGAAAAGGAAAAGTTAGTTTCTCTTTTCAGTCTTATGAAAATCATTACAAAAGTATATAATAGTAAATAAAGAGAACCACTCAAATGCACTCAACAGAATTCCTTGTAAAAGGCAAAGTTATTTCTGACTTAGGTGTGACAAAAATAGTGAAAAATAATATAGCTATGTTTTGTAGAAATGAAGCCCCCTTCTGTAGAAATCAGGATTTCACATTTGCTTCAGGACACAGAGCAACAAACTTACTGTTGCTTAGGAATGACAAGATCTGTTCCTTTCTTCCTTTCATGGTCCTTCATGTTGACTGAAGCTTCTTTCAGTCAAGACTGATAATGAAATTTGTAATGTTTGGACTTCAGGTTTTAATCAGATCCACTGACTTAAATTTTAGTGCATAAGGGATGTTCTTTCTTTTTACCTGGTTGACCTGTGCTGTCAGAGTGCTGTAATGCTTTCTCTCCCCTGGTTTCTACTATAAAAAGATCATGGATTTATTTGTTCACATGCTTCCTTCTATTATGGGTAATGACAGTTAACTAGTAGCTTCATGCACAGGCCTAGAGAATAATGTTTGCACAGCTGTTCACCTGGCTATTCCTTTAGCCAGCCAGCCACCCACCCAAACATGCATGTAGACTCTAGAACTGGGTGGCAGGAGGCAAAAAAACCATATCTTGGTCTGTATGACAGTAATAATTATTATGACGAATCTGCAGCCTAGACTAGATCTTAAAATAGCCTAATGGGTCTGGAAAAGTAATACAGTAACACAACATATTGCTGTTGGGGTGAGATTCAAAGCATTAGATACATTATTCTAAATTTTATTCTAACCTAGAGAGCTTCTGTGTAGAGTTACAAACATTTCTTTTTGCAGCTTTTACTGCTTTGAAAAGCCCTATGTTGCAATAACCCTATCTTCTGCTGAGTAGTGATGGATGTGGCTCCCTTCAGAGCCCATGAATGCTGTTCCAAGCATTGACCAGAACGATCACTCATAAATGATGAAAAGCATTTCCTC